TTGTGCCCATTGCCTCTGATCCTGTCACTGGGCAGTACTGAGAAAAGTCTGTCTCCATCCTCTTTGGACCCTCCCATCAGGTATTTATACATATTAACATGATCTGCTCTTCTCCAGGCTGAACAGTCCATCAGCTTGTCCCCTCACGAAAGATGCTCCAGTCCCTTAAAGTGGCCCTGACTGGACTCATTCCAGCAAGTACCTCTTTCATGTATGGGGTAGCCCAGCTCATTGTAAAGACTGTTCCCAGTCACCTTGTCCTTCAGGTGTCTGGAAAGGGTTTCCAGGTAGATTTGGTCCTTCACTTTCCTAGGGATTGAGCTGAGGCTGACCACTTCAGGTTCCCCAGATCCTCCTTCCTGCACTTCTTGAAGACAGGAGTGACACTTGCTCTCTTCCAGCCCTCGGGAGGCTCCCCCAGTGGCCATGACCTTTCAAAGAGGATTAAGAGTGTTCACACAGTGACACCAGCCAGGTCAGCACTCTGGAGTGTGTCCCATCAGGTTCCACGGACTTTTGTATGCTCATTGGTTTAAATGTTCCCTAACCTGATCCTACTCCATCAAAAGTACATTTTCCATGCTCCAGACTTTCCTGCTTGCCCCAGGGTCCTGGAATAACTGAATCTCAGTTTCACCAGTAAAAACTGAGGTGAAAAAGGGATTGAGTACCTCAGCTTCACCCTGTCCCTTGTCACCAGGTCTCATCCCCAATCTGGCCAGCCCTGGAGAGCATGGAGAGGATTATGTGCGGTAGTATAGAGAAATTGGTTGTGTGCTGATATGGAACAACCCTTTTATATCCATATGGTGTCTCTCTCAATGCTTTCTCATTGTGTTGGTGATGTCCTGGCTCTGGGAAGGTGAATCATGGATGCTGTCATCCCCTTTTCCTTCTGCTCCTTGTTCTTCCCTTTTCTCCACTCATCTTTAAACTAGATGTTTTCCACAGCTTGCTACCCACAAAATAGCTGAAAGGATGATTCTTCTGGTTAACCTGTGGACACATCTATTAGTACAAGATTTCAGCTGCTTTGAAAGGTTGTTCCATTTTATTAATCTGGAAAACAGTTTTTATGAGAAAAGCAGCATTTTGCACATATAATTAGGAAGGTACGATACTCTATTTCTGGAGATGCACAGTCAAAAGCTGGGAGATTTTGGCACTTACTGAAACAAATATCTTTTGAACATCTGAAATTGCTCCTAAATATATTTTGATTATAGCGTGACCATGGCAATAAAAGAGTTCCTTGAGAGAGAAAAGATTTGGATTCAGATATTTATACTGTTTGGCTGGGAACTGATTATTTCCCAAGCCAGAGCTCTTAGGTTTCTCATTGATAAACCTTTCTGCTGGCTTCAGGAAAGAGTCAGAGTTGGGGTTGCCCTCTGCAAATGGGGTGCTGAGCCCCGTTTCAGGCAGAAACAACAGTTGTTGCCACACTGGTCAGTGGAAGATTCCCTTTTAGCCTCCAACATGATTTTTTATTTTAATCCCAGACCCTTTGCATTTTGCCATTCTATTGACTCCTGCTCTTAATTCTTGCAGCCATCACTGGTGTGCTCTGCAATCCCAGATCCTGGCACTGCCCACCAGTTGAGGTATCCTTAATACCAGTATCAGGTCTGCTAAGAGAGGGAAAGAAACTCTTTTATTGCACTGTCTTTTTATTGCACTGGCTTATGGAGTTCAAGAGGAGCTAGATCTACAACCAAAAGTCTTTTCTTCTTTTTAAAGGGGTTCTGAAATTTTATTTTGCTCTTCTGGATAGAGGTAGAAGTTTTTCTCTCAATTTTGTGCCTTGTAACCAGTGATTGGGTTTGTAGATGTAGTCAATACTTGCTATACCCTTGCTAGTTCTGCCAGCTGCATCGCAAGTGTTTTGATAACTGCATTTTTTGTTGTTGTTCAAGCCCACTTCCAGGGAAAAAAATTTTAATATTTTATTAAAAAAATAAACACATTGTTACTGAAAAAAGCTGTAAATAGGAAGCCAGACCCCTGTAGTCTCAACACTCAGTACTCTGCCTCAAACTGCACACTCTCTAATTTTTACATTCATAAATTTTAGAATAATCTGATTATTTTTGAATCTTTGGCACTGACAAGACTCATATTACATTAGTTTTTCAGAGCTTTAGGGATTTTATGAATGTTCTCAAACCGCAAAACAGTTCCCCCATCCATAATGTGAGTACAGTTCATAAAAGAAAAAAAATCCATTAACATTAATGAGGTAGTTAAATTTAAAAAAAATAAAATCCCACTATAAGAAAATCTCTAAAAATTCTATAGCTTCTTTTTTCTACTAGTCACTCAGCCACTGTTTACAGAAATTCAGTGTTCTTTTGCAAAGCTAGAATCAGAGCACTGAAGAACAATGAAAGCTGAACCTTGACCTCTGTTCCTTTACAGTGTCTTTCGAGGGAAATAAACAAAGCAAAACCAACCAAATAAAAAAATACCACAGAAAAAAACCAACACCCCCCCCCACATACACAAAAAAACCCCATAAACAAAACAAAAACAGTCAAAAAAACCCAAAACAACAAAAACAACAAATCAACTTCAGCAGTTTCTCTCCACAGAAGTTGAATGGTTTATCTAGTATATTGCATGGCTTCTTCATCCAACAGAGACAAATCTGACTCCCACTTCTTAAACATTTTTGTGCAAACAATGCTAAAACTTTATGTGCAAATAATATTAAAATTAGATAACACAGCAGCATCACCATTTTGTACAGTCTAACACAAAGCATACCCTCTGACACAGTCAGCAATTAAATGGATTTAGTTGGTCTGCAAAACTAAAGCAGTCTGATCCTCTGGATCGCTTTTTTACCTATATCTACCTCTGTAAATATCATAGTGAAGCTTATTAAGTTAATTCAGGTTACTAACAGACATAAAGTCAAGCACACAGGAAAACTATGAAAGGGCTAGGGCAGTGTTCAGAGTCAACCAAAATGATTTGGCCTTTGAGAAACAAGGCATGCATATCTAATAGTAAAATTGAGATAGCCTAGCAAAATGAAATATATATAGGTATATGTATGCAGTCTCAGGCTAATAATTAATTTGTCTTGCAAAGGGTAAGCACTGTTGAAAGTACTTTGAAACAATTACTAACAACCTCAGATAGAGGTTGCTGTCAAACAGAATAGAACTAACTGTGATTGAGGTCTGTATCAGTAATTGATACAAACATTGACATTAATGCTGAGATACTTACATGGAAGAATTCAGCACCTCATAAACCTCTTTCCATGCAAAAACTGACCTTTTAAGCTAATGACAGTTGCCTGTTTCTTGCATGGGAACTCAGCATGCCCAGCACTGCTTGTTCCCCAGTCGCCAGAGTGAATTCCTTTTTGTTCTTATTCTATATCCTTTTTGGGACAGTTGCAGCTCATGATAACACAACAGCAAAATGGAATACCATTATAACTTAAATCAATAAAATGTCCTTTCCTGAGTCTTTTCTGAATAGTTTGTGCTAGAAATTGGCTGAGATCACTGCAAATCAGTATAATAAAATTGATGACCAGTTCCTTTGTACAAAATGAAGCAATAAAGAGCTTTTCGGTTAGCTTTATTTTTTTATTGATAGATACCATACTGGAGACCACACACATTACTGTTATATATGAGAAACAACATAGCTGTTTCAACAGACAAAAATTAAAGTGTAGTTGATTCATTGGCTCCTTTAAGAGGACTGGCATCTGGACCACATGCACTTCAAAGTCAAATGCTGTACTGAGATGTGCTGCTTTGAAGTACAGCTGCTGATCCAGACAAATTTTGGAGCCTAAACTAGCATGTGAATCTGCTGTACTCTGAAAAAAAAAATCTATTTCAGATGCCAGTTTTAACTCAGTTTAGAAAATTGCTGTCTGGATCGGCTGAACTTCAAAGCAGAACATCGCGGTGCTGCATTTCCCTTTGAAGTGCAGCTAATCCAGATAGTGGGTTTTCTCTCCCTCCTTTTTTCTAAGTAGTTAAAATTGGCATCTGACCTTACTAGTATTTCTCTTCACCATCTGCACATTCTTCCTCCCTTCTCCCTTATTTCCTAATCTTTTGACCTCTGAAAAATACAGCAAGGTTCACTGTCTTTTTAGCTCCTACATTACCAAAGCTACTATAAAGAGAGTGGTTATGCGAGTGCCTATATCAAGTTACATAATGGCCAATTACTGCACATGGCTTGTCATAAAGTTTGTTAATAAATAATACTTAACTTTACCATCCAGGAAAAATAAAGCTCAAAGAAAATCCTTTGTAAACACTTGTATTTAGAGTATTCATAACCACATTCTCATGGTTCTGCTAACTTATATTAACAGCCATTCGCACTGGTTAAAAAGTAGTTGAGCTTGACAGCATTTCAACCTTAAGAAATTTTAAGTTATTTTGTCACAGAAAGGTCTCCTTCACAGGCAAGTCAGGAAAGCCTTAAGGAAAAGGTTTTACTAGAGAAAGAATGAGATTACCACAGGCAGAATATGCAGAGCTTCTGGCAAGAGGAGTCAAGGGTAAATGCAGTGCCCTCACCAGGACATGCTCCCATCTTATACACACATAGGGATGCTGCCATTTGTTACTGAATAAAAAAACGAATCATGAAGAAATGCTGCACTCTCTTCAAACGACAAAAATAAAGTAAAAAAAAAAAACCACCCAAATACATATTAGTACAAGAGGACAATTTAATGACAGCATCTCTCATTTACTGAGAAATAACTCTGCAGAGAGAAAGGACTGGACAATGACCAGCATTTTTTTACAGAGGTCATGAGACATTTGGGTGATCTGTTCTTCTCAGGCAGTCTTTAATTAGAAAATTCCTAGAGAGAGCTCCTGCTCCCACTAGGTGCTTATTAAAAACTAAAGACAAAAGGAGTTAGTAGCAAAGCCTAAGGAAGTGACAGAGAACTCAGGACGCTGGAAGGCAAGAGTCAGCTGCTGCTAGCACAGGGAGAGGCACTCAGAATGGGATGCTGGATCTTGAATGAAAAACTTTCAGTGCTGTTATTAGTGAGTATTTTTAGCATTAAAAAAATCTAATTGGATATATATAAATATTTTAAGCTTGTTTAAAAGACATTTTATGGTTTGCTTACAGTAATGTTCCCAAGTTTAATGTAAAACTTGCTATAAAATATTCAGCAGTCTTTTTATAACTAGTCTTAAAAAACAATTTAAAGGCTCGCTGTTTTATTTTTAATTATTTTTAAGTCCATTTACTTTAGTCCTCAGATAAAGGGAGGAGGGGGTTGCAATTCTAATTGAAATTATATTATGAATTATTTTTCAGAGGCTTTGATGAATTGAGCATGCGGAGCAGAGAAAGGAATTTCCTCAGCTCCTAACTCCCTCTATTTTTGTGATTCTTTAATTTTAGCTTTTATTGCCTTTTTAGAGACGAGGTTAAGCCCTGTGCTTAAAAGCAAGTTTACCATGACACAGGAAATGTCATTTATATCCTCTACTAGGGATGAGGATACGACTGTAATCCTGCATTTGCTAAAAGACAGTCTCATTTGAGTAGGCATTTTTGATTTCTGTCATCTGTGATCAAGAACTGCACTGCACACTGATTTTGAAACATCTCTCAGATACTCTTAAAACTATAACCATAATCAGTTTTAAATGCATTAAAAAATACTGTAAGTGTCACTAACCTGTAGTCTTTCTGCTTTGTAGTTGGTGTGGCTGGCACTGAATTTCTATTTGTTTATTGATACCTTCCATTGGTATGAAGATGACAATGCTTACATTTATACACGGATTATGCTGGGAGTAAGTTTGAGTTTGATTGTTAAAGGGCTCCACAGGAAGACTGTATTCATAGTCTGATTTTACATACATCCTTCATAAAACTTTTGATGCTTCAACAGTAATTTTCCCACATAAGAGTATTATATTAATATTTTTCTTTTGCACTTCCATATCAAGCTTGTAATTTAATTTCTTTACACTGTTATATGTACAGTCAACCCTGGCTTGGGCAAGAGCTTCTGCAACGTGCCTTAATTTTAACTGCATGCTAATCCTGTTACCAGTCTGTAGAAACCTTATTTCATTCTTAAGAGGAGCAAGCATTGTAAGTACCATTTCTCAAATAGCCATATTATCCTCTCTTTTTATTTCTGTAGTTCAGCAGAATTATCCATATCAAACATTTTCCAAGGAATTTTAATTTTTTATAGAGAAGTCTGTACACTATTGCCTAGTTATTACCATTTAAATTGTCAGTATTCATGACTGAAGAGAAACAAATGGCTTGTTTAACACAGTACTCTAAATGCTACACTGATTTTGGCAGCTGCTGCATAGCATGGTGTCATGAAGAGAAAAGTGAGAAGCTACAAAAAAGGGACATAATAATGCAACTTGGCCAAATAGAGAAAATACATATCCATCATGTGTATTCTGTGTAGCTGCAAAGTGAAAACTGGAGAAAGAAAATGCACAGATAGATAAAAGTGCTTTAAGGCATATGTTTAAACCCTTCTGTCTGAGTAACCACCAGTCAGGTCTTCATTTGTGGTAAACATGTTTTTGTAACAGAGTGGTCATCTGCTCAGAGGCATTTACATTAACCTTGGAATCACACATAGGAAGTACTTGAGGCTTTAGTTCTACTAACTATAGCTTCAACTTGCATTGAATTATTATAGTCAGAGCAATTCCAATGCCACATGTTTGGGTAAAAAAAATCACTGATCACTTCATGACTCCAAGAACAACAAGAATTTAGAAATGGTAGCATTCAGTTATTTTATTGTAAGCTGGTTCTTATTCCAGTTCTGCCTTTTTTTTTTTCCTTGATTGTTAGACTTAGCTGTCAAGCAGTCTTTAGGCTGGGAATCAACACTGTTATATAATTGAGTCCAGGAGCTCAGCATTTAACAAAAAAACAGTTGTCTTGGCCTTTTGAATCAGTTTGTGAATTAACACAAAATATATGCATGCCCACTTAGCTGCTGAATAAGAACTCAGAGAACTGGAACTCTTCTCACAGATAATATTTTGCTCTTCTGGACAATATTCTGTTCTTGTGGAGCATGGTACAGAGCAACTTGACTGGCTCTAGTATGGTCAGCAGTGTGCTAGATCCAGTGACTCTCCAAGGAGGTGCTGTGTATTGCACCCTGCAGTGCTCCAGATTTTTGGAAGACGTATTAGCTGGGAAGCAACGTGGATAAACGCCAGGATCTTTGGCATGGCACCATGCCAGGTCATATCAGCAATCCAGACACCCACACCACCATTCAGAAACTGAATTCTGTCCAGGCTGTCTTGGTTCCAGCAGAGCATGTTACTTTTGGCTCCTGAAGCCAGCACCCGGCCCCGGGCTGACTCTGCAGAAGCACCCAGCTGGTCGCGAGCACACCACTGTTGATCCACCACTTCCAACAGTGGATCAGCATGCAGCCACCTGAGGTCTAGACAGCCTCACCCCCCAGGGGTGTGCATTTCATGAAAGCAGAGAAAATGTTTTCATTGCAAGCTCTTTACCAGCAGCTCAGCTGTGCTGTTGCAGCTAATCCTGAGCTTGCAAAGCAAGCCTAGTGTTTTTTACAGCAAATCAGTTAATCGCCAGCCCAGATAAACCACTCACAAATCACAGCTAAATGTAGCAGAGCTTTGTCAAACCTTTTTTTGAGCCATCAACATAGGGTGAATAGCTTCAGAAATCCAGGAGTGTCACTATGCTGGAAACAGTTACCTGAGACCCAAAACTAGCCCAAAACTTTCGCTGAATCCCTTCAACATTCCATTCTTAAATGTACTGAACTCTTCTGTTCCCCTCTCCAAACTGTGAGTTCTAAACACTAAAAGAATGATATAAAACAAGTTCTGCTTTTTCACCAAGTGCTGTGGAGGAGCACTGAGGAGACAGCTTGACAAAAACATCACATTTCACAAGATGGTTGCCTATGGAATAGCTGTAAATGCAAGTAAGCTTTTTTTGGTTTTATTTTTTTTTTCTTATTTGCCTTCAAACTGTTCTGAATTTCACAGTGATTCTGCCTAATGCTGTAATCCCCATCAGCTCTGAGACATGCTATTTTAGTGCAATCATTTGTTGACTGCAGTTTTAAATATGTGTAGGAGTCCCATCTGATTAACCATTTGCAACCTTTTGTGCTTGAAAAAAGTTTGACTATTAAGGCAGTAAACTTTCAACCTGAATAGTAACTATCAGTTGCCACGTAATTAATCTGACCAATTTATGTGCTCTTAACATTTAGTGTAAATAACTCTCATTAAATCCCTGAGTGTAGATGTTTGGGGAGATAACACAGCATTACTGTCCAATTTCCTGAGGAAGTGATGCTTACAAGTCACACCACACATCTTTCCATCAATACCTCTTCAATAATTTTTCAACTAGATAATAAATTTAATCTGAATTTGAGAGAGGTATCTGTCTCAAAAAACCAATGAATTCCTACATATTTATTTTAAGTAGGTGATGGGCACAGGGAACTGATAGCCCCCTTGAGGGAAAAACAGGATCTTAAGATCAAAATGTATCTCTTCTCCTGATCCTAGTGACTTACAGAGCTATAGATGTTTGTTTACCTGACTGGGAAGAATAGCACCTTCCTGCTTTCCAAGTAGTTAAAGCACCTGGAGAAGATTGAAGCTTGTAGGAGTTTAGAAGACAAGGAGAACAGGAGACAGCATGAGGAAGAGGGATGTGCAGAGAGGAATGTACAAAAGCAAATATGAAGAAGGACATGAGCGCGTTAGAGATGGAGAGGTATTTGAGGCAGATGGTTCTCTTAGAAAATGTGAAGGAGACAGAGGAATTAATCAGGGCTATTTGCAAGCATAAGACATTGCAGGGTAACAGTTCTACCCCCAGGCTGTCAGGATGGATCTTGGTCTCAATATTTTTTTCAGCCTGCATGAGGGAGCTGCTTTTGCATGTATAGGCTGTTAATGTCCTCATGCAGTGAGACAAGAATATGAAGTCAGGATTGCCAATAGGAATCAATAGCTAAAGTTTGTCTTTTGCATGTCATGGTAAAGAATTCAGAGGAGAAGGCTAGGGGATGCAAACATTCATCTTGTCGTGTACTATGATGATTTACTTATCTGTCATGTCCATTCATTTATTAGAACTCAGTTTCAGCATAAAACAGATTCCTACAGAATGCAACATTGCTTCTTTAATTAATAAATCAACCCTGAAATGTAAATTAACCAACTTCTACTTGGCGTATAATAGGTCAGGCTCCAAAAAGAAAGCAAAATTGCACAGTCAAACCTTTCATGTTTTTTGGCTTTTACATTCATATTAAAATGTTTCCTAGTGCATTAAGGGTGGACAGTTTGGGAAGTGCAAGTCTATCAGAAAAGTGATTACTTTATGGCTTCAGTAATTCCAAGGAAAAAGACACAGGAGCTGATGTGAAATGACAGAAAGCATTATCATTTTATTCTATCACTCTCCAGGGAGAAAATGAGTGTTCATTGTTGGGTTGTTATTTGGGTTGGTTTTGTTGTTTTTTTTCTAAAATATAAAATGGACAAATAGTTGATAAGATATTTCAGGAAGAAAACACAGTACGGGGAGGTCTAATGAACAAAGCATGACAACTTATGAATTCGTGCTTCCCTAACAGCCAAGTGAGAAAAAACTATCACATTTAGGAAAACATTACATCGCTGTATAGCCAGACTTGGGTAAAGAACAGCCAGAAACTCAATTGCCTGAAATTAAGTTTAAAATTCCTTTAAAAAAAAGTCTACAGCACACATTGTGACAGAAAAGCAATGTTTCAGAGTAAAGAGGTACCCACAAGTAAACTGAATCCCTTTTAATAAAATCTAACACTTAAAATGATGTGTAAATAGATGTCATTTTCCTCTCAACTGACACATTATTTTTCCAAGTTCTACCTATACTTCCTTTTATTACACAAAAACATAGTCAACTCCTATTAGTCTATTGCAATTTAGTAATTCTTAGTTAAATGAATGTTCTCCCCTCTATGATCAATAGCCTAAATGTGGCAGCAAGAAGTTAAACCAATTTGAAGATCAGATCAGTAAGTTTAGCCTCCCAATATAAAATCGTAAACTCCTTTATTATTTAAGTAACATGTATTCATCTCGGCTTGCCAGGTGGTGTTATTCCAGCATATTTATTTAATGGCGTGCTAAAAATAGTCAGTGCAACATTAGTATTGTCTGGTTTCTAACAGGCAGCCAGCTCAGCTGAGGTGTGCGTGGCCCTGGAAAAAGTACATCTGCACCTTTAATTTTTCATCACGTCCAATACAAATTCAAGAGCAGGCTTTAATTGGTCAGGTCATAAAGGGATATAATTAGAGAATAGTGGAACAGGGAAGCTGGAGGAAAGAGAGAGAGTAAACAATGCTATCTATAATCAAGGGCATCATTGAAAATTCAGTAAAGGGAATTCTGCTTACTTTGGCTTTCTGCGTTCTGCATGCCTGTCTGTGATAAGAGCTGTCTGGGAGTTATTCAGACACTAATAAATCTTCCTTATAGAGTCGTAACCTTACTAGAATAAAATCAGAGTTTCATGCACTCTCAGTTTGATCAGTGCAAATAATTCTCTGCTTTCTAATGCAAAAGCAGCTTTACAGTTGAGAAGCAGTGGTCTGAAACTTAAAGATACCTACAAAGGATAGCAAATAAAGTTTTGTACAACTCCTCCCTCTTACTGTTTTTACCCTCTTAAGAAAGTATATTCATACATTTTCTGAAGTGGGTAGAGTTATGGGGGATATTTTTTTTTTGCTTTGACATGTTGTGCACATCTTGAAGAATTAAACTGATTCTTGCATTGTATTGATGTTTACAGAAAGGTTATATAGATATTTTGCTCCAACAATCTTTGAATTATGATATTAATAAAGTTTAAGCAATTAAGGAAAAATAGGGGAAGAACAGCAATTCCGGCAGTGTGATTTTCCTTAAAAACGTGCAAACTGCAGATAGAAGTACGGTGATGCCAGGTGTGTTTGGCTTCTGACAAGCACTGAAAAATCTATAGCTAAAATTACTAGAAAACCTTTCAATTTTCAACCACTTTTTGGTAGACTATGAGAAGAGCTTTGGTGATCTGAGTCACATTTTTGTGTAAGCAACTAAGTTTTCAGGGAACTAGATGCTTATCTTCCAAAGAGGTTTAGCTGATATCTCAGTGTTGTACTTCCAGAAATTACAGAAAATCAAACTTCCATTAAACTTCCTTTTTTTTCCAGTCAGATTGTTTAAATCTAGACTTAGTGCAAGCACTAGGAAGGAAACTATATTAAATTAAAGATTATAAGCTTCCAGCTAAGATAAAAAAGTGATCCAAGTCATGTTCTTCTTTGATGTTTATAACCATTCTTAAAAAAAAAAAAATCCAATGCAAGTATGTGTGTGGTCACTACTGTAATTTTTACACAGTGTGTGCTTTTTTTAGTCCACAAAGACAACATGTAGTTGAATTAAGGGTTTTGTGTAACCAGAAATGGCACGAGGCAGTGGGTGGCAGAAAGAACTCAAGCTTGATCGGGGGCAGAATTCCCCATGTCTGGGTTATCTGCTTGCAAAGCTGTTCTCTTCAGTGTGGGCAGAAAGGCTGAGATTTGACCCTTTTACTTTATCATGATAGGCTGGTTAACCAAAACATTTAACTTCTAGCAGCAAGCTTCAATTTGATTATTATCCTGTACAGGCATGCAGAAAAAGAAAGAGTGAAATCTTTCCTCAGATAAACACATGCAATTTCTGTTTAGTTCAATGAGAGTCATGCATGCTTCACTGAAGGCACAATTGGCTGAATAAGAGTAGCTAAATTGACCAGACTTTCAAGATAATTTAATTACATCTCTTTGTATTTAAGAATATCTACAGTAAACACCATGCTGTAATAGCAATCCTATTCCTCCCTCTCCTCCCAATAAAATCTTTTATTTGATCTCAGAGATGGACTAGATAGAACATCTCAGGGTCAAATACAAATTAATGTACGTTAAGTGCTTCAGAGGTTCCAGATGTTGTTATAAACAACAGTCAAAATCCTTCAGTCTTCACGAACACTATAAAAAAGGATTTTGTTTGAAAGGTTGGATGATTTATTTCATATGTTATATTTGGTCATGCAGAATGAGGGAAAAATTGAACTGAAAATCCTGAGATGTAGTACCTTAAACTTTGCTCTCATGGTTAACTTATCTAAGTGGTGCAGGGAAAAAAAAAACCCAACTGTTGTAAGCTCAGATTTCAGAAATCTGCATATTAATTTTGGAATTGCTTAGTAAATTCTATACACTGCAAACCTTCAGAAAATGCACTTTAGGGATGTAAAATATTTTAGTTAATGGCAATATGTTCAGTGCCAGACTTTTTAGTCTGCTACAACCATTGTACATTAAATGAACCGCACTGAAAATGGAATTAAATCTTTGCATTACTCTTACCATCCAGCTATAATTAATTTTTAGAGTGCATCCTTTTTGCTGGCAGCACATGAAAAACCATCATAAGTATTAATCTAATAACATGCCAGGCAATACGTAAGATCATGGAAGACTCAGGTAAACTAACATATCAGTACATCATTAGTTTGAATGTTAATATTTTTCAATGTATCATTATGCGCTATACATTAAAATCTACTACAGAAAACTTGCAGAAAAAAAACCAAAAAAACCACTCTCCTGTTCATTCCGGAAGTCTTCTACACTTGTAATATCCTCTACCTGTCAGATGAAAGCTGGAGAGAAGCCACCCAGAAGGCACATTGGAGTAAATCCCAAAGAAGATGATGTTTCCATTGACAGAAACACTTATAGTGAAACAGAACAATATACAGATGGAAAAACCAGTGTCCTTTAATGGATTGCAGAAAAATCTTACTAGGTTAGGTTGCAGAAAGTGGATCTCTTCCTCCAGGGAAAAGTTGCAACATGACTACTCTTCATTAAACCTTAGGCTTGAGACTTTCTTGAGAAACTATATCCATTTAACCCATTATTTTTTTGTCCAAGACGAGAAATACTCTGTTAGGAAATGTGAACCTCTGTCTGTCTGGAGGAAACTACCACCTCATTTTACTCTCAACACTCAACATATACTAAATAGCACTAGATTTCCTGTCACTGCTGACATGACTAGAATTCGTACAAATCATGTACAACCCTTCACTTTGAGGAAAGTGTAATGTTTTATAGCCTTTTAAATAACAGAAATGCCATCATTTCATGTGAGTGCTTCACAGTTTGCACTATCACTTTAAAAAAAAAAACTATTGTTCGGGAGGTGGATGGGAGAGAGTGTGTTTTACTAGGAACACAGATTCAAACCTCCACATCTAGTCAATGTGGCTATTTTAAATTAGTAAGGATAGTCCAAAACCTCCAGCTGAGAGTCCGTAGGGAACCCTTGGTAAACCACCGCTATGGATCATAACTGTGTGAAACTCACATGGTCCCAAGGCTATGGTGACTATTACATCAGAGTTATAAAGAGCATCCTGCAGGTATAGAGGGCAAGAGGCCCAAGTTACATTAATCATAAGTGGATGCCAAAATAAAACTGCTTAGTAGAAGTCCACTCAGAGATTCGTTGTCAGGACTTTCCATCCTTTGAAAGTTTTCTCTCCTCTTTCTCGTAGTCCAGTACCAGACTATGTTCAGCATGTAACTCCACAACTTACCAAAGACAGCAGTCTGTTACTCCAAACTCCTGTCCTGCAAGTGAGCTCTTTTACATGTCAAAGACATCAGGATCTCATAAAGCAATGACTTGGTTCCCTTCCAGAGGGACCTGATAACATCCTTACCAGGCCAACACATCTGTTCTGAAAGAAGACCCTTGTAGCAACAGTTCCTCCCTTCCCACTCAGCACTTGAAAGTGCTGTTACACTTAAATACATCAACAGTGTTTATATACTGCTTATACATCAGTTGTACACTGGGGAACAGATTGCCACAGCCCCCACACAGCTGCCACCTAAACCGTGCAGCTCAGAGCTTCTTGTGCTTTTGGGTTTTGACAATCAGAACTCACACATCTCACTCACTGCTTGTGGTCTGGTGTAACCTTTCTTCAGAGCTGCTGAGGTGCTGGGAGCACCCTCACGTGCAGACTCTGGGAAGCATCTTCCACTGGATGCTAGCCAGATTGTTTCACATGCAGCACCTTATCCATAACAGCGTGTGCAGGACATGCCCGATCACTGAATCCAATACCCTCTGATGCTCACAGTCACATCATAGACACTCTTTCATAAAATGACCAACCTTTAGCTGAAAGCTGCTTAGATTGCTTGATCCCATTATCCCCTTTATTGAAAGGTTATTTTAGAGTCTCATTCCTTTGATGGCTTGAATCTGTCTTCTAATTTCCAAGCTCATTTTATCTCTGTGCAGTTCATACCCATTTGGATTCAGTCTCTATTCTACTGAAGCTATTGCAGCCTGTATAAATAACTTATTATTTATTGGGCCAAAGATTCAGAAAAAATAGGAGCTTGATTTTGCAGTTTGGGTGCTCAGAATATTCACTTGGGATGACTGTGTCAATAAATATTTGATTATTTTTATTATGGGTTTCATCAGGATACAGCTCAAAAGAGAATAATCAGTCAGCCCAGTGACTAGGACATGTGATTTGGTTTAAAGCCTTACTTTAAATTTAATGTAACTAGGATTTTAAAGTAGGTCTTTCATCTCCCAGTAAATGTCTAAGCATGAGGCAATGAGGTGAAGCAGGTGTCAATGAGTGGCAATGCGGAGTCCCGAAGCTAATATGACATTTTGGATGAAGCGCAACCTTGACAATCAACCAACGACAGCACATCTACTGCTCTAGAAGGATCACCACATAAGTACAGAGTGCAAATAGTCTCTTTCCAGCCTGGACATTTGGGATAACCTACTGGTGGAGGGAAGAGTGCAATGTTCTACCTTTTTGCACTGGCTGCTTTAAACACTTCCATGGACAGCATCCTACCTTAACACATATTCCCATGCACACAGCTCTCCCCAGGTGCTGCAGAGGAGCTGGACTCCAGCACGTAGAATGAGGGAGCTCAGTAAGTGGGTAGGCACATAAAAGACTTAGCAATACCAAAGTCCTTATGCATTTAATCCTGTGTTTTCATCCATGATTATACAGTGACTAGCACAGTGAGACATTACTTTCATGCATGTAGTTACAATTAAAAAAAAAGGGAGAAAAAAACAAGAGGAAGAGGAAAGAAGGAAAAAGGAAGAAAGAAGAAGAAGAAAGAAAGCAGAAAGAAAAAGGAAAAAGAAGAAAATAAGGGAAGAAAGAAGAGAGATGAGAGAAAAGAGAGGAGAAAAGAGAAAAAAAGAATCTTTTTTTAGAGAATATTGTTCAGGGAAGCAGATCATATTTGGTTTACTACAAATGCTGCCTTTTAGAAAGGTTTTTTTAAATAGTCAGGGACAGAAACAGATAACCACTGAAGGAGAGATTATAACAGCAAGCTAATTATAAGAACTAGAAATAGCATATCCTAATAGCTCTGCTGTAAACATATAATTATTTTTCATTGTCATTTTTTCATCCTTTGGCTTTTAATATTTTGCATTAGTTACAGCTTTCCTGTAATGGATTTGAGAATCTCTCATATTGAAAAATGAAATTCTGTACCTATCTTGTTTGTGATTTTATCTATGTTAGCCAATAATAAAACAAATTTCTTCCTTTTCCACTCTTGAAATAACCCTGTTTCCACCCAGGAAAATAATTATGGGAGAGTTCTTACTTCAGTCTGAGGCATTTTTCTAAACTGACCATTTCATATACCTTTTGGGAGCAGGCCAGAAGCAGAGGCAATGTATGATGCTCGTGACAAATCAGATCTAACATTGTGATTCGCAATTCTCCCTTAAAATCATAGTTCCTGTGGCTTCCCCAGGCTCCATCTACATAAAATAATGCTACAGCTACTTGTTAATAGGGAACGGATTTTAAGTGCATCTCTTAAAGATCAGTAGTGCAAGCTGCAAACAGGTCCGTGATTAAAACAGTCAACTCAGTGTCCCATGTAGCAAGGGTAAACCATTGCACATTCCAGTATATTAATAAAAAAATACGAATTTTAATCAGTTTACCTAATTTTGAACAATTCAAAATCAGTGGCACACACTTTTACATCAACTCGCAAGAGGTCCCTTGTGATGACACTGAAGACTGCAGGACACTTGACTGTAAACCTGGGAGGTGACGTTGGAGCTGGTCCTCTCCAATGGGAAGCAGTTGCTTCAAATTAGACATGCATTTGATAAAATTCTCTTTTTATTGTCAGCTTAACCCAAGCAAAACTCATAGTTTATGCCCAAGCTTTTCAAATAGCTCACAGTGTGCATAGTGAACTTCCTTCTGGCGCTGTGGACACACACAAGTGTGTCTGTAATTTCACACTACTCTTTCTCTCATGCAGCCATCCATATTGTTGCCCACTTGATCAACATCGAGCGGTATCATACTAGCCAGTCAAAAGAAGCTGGGGAGTTACGGAATAAACTTTCTGGTCTTGGCAAGAGCCCAAATGAAAGCTACTTGAACCCAATCAGGACCTATGAAACAGTAAGCTGTCACTTTTTGGTTTTCTCATCTACAAAGTTTTCCTCTGTGGATTCTATTGTCAGTAAAACTGTGTTTCAAAGCCTTTTAACCAGAGCGAGAAGGTGCTGCCAAAGGTTAACCTCAATTTCAGCTGAAAACACTTACTCATAGCTGCAATTTTCAGGTTACTCAGCTCAAAGAAATGTCTACAGTATTTTAATTAGTTTGTCAGGAGGCAGCTGGTGGGGGGAGGATAAGGAGTGTTGTGAATAGTAGGCAATTAAATGAACCTGCAAAGAATTTTAAAAAACCTCAAAACTTAATTATCAATACATGGAACAAACACAACATTTTTTTCAGAAAGAAAAAAACAAACAGCAATAGCACTTCACAGTATTTTTTTTCACATTTACTATTTGTCTCTCCCCATGATTGTGCAGCATCTTTGCAATCTGGGGGTTGATTCTGCCTTGTTACATGTAGAGTGTGGCTGCCCAGGAAAGAGCACATTCAAAACCATGCAGAGGCTTGCTGCATATAGGAAGCAGTGCAGGGGGAAGCTGGTGCTGCTGTGTGCTCTTCAGAGCCTAGCAGAACTACTGGCTTCTCAACCCTGCGAATAAATGGTTCTGCTTGCTTTGGGGAAAGAAGTGACTGTGCCTCCTGTCCACTTCCTTGGATACACCCCAACAGCATTATAAGCTCTTCCTTATAATATTTATAATATAACAAAAAGCAGAGCCTTTCTGCATGGTAGGCATGCAAACCATGCAAAAGTTAATAAGCTTTTTTTCCTTATTCCATTATAGTACACATTACATTTATGTTATATGTTTCCTTGTGTATCCTGTTGCATACTGTTACATATTCCAGGGTTGAAATGGCCCTAGTGAGATGCCCATAATATTGTTTCTGCTCTTTAGAAAATTTCCACATAGTCAGCATGAAATAAGGACTACCTGAACACCACAGAGGGGGGCTCTGTCAACCAGCGATGCTCTCCACTGAAACAAGAAACAAAGTGGCTGTATAGCCATTCGATAGGATTCAATAGTACTTTCCAGATGCAAGGCTTGTTCTGCTTTTTCTTAGTTCCTCTCCAGTTTAGATAGTGTGGGTTTTTTCATCTTTCAAAGCAAACAAGTAAACAATTCTCAAATTTGAAGAAAATCAAGCAAATTAATGCAGTCAATGGTATGAATGGAAAAGTCTCCACGTTAGCATAGACAAAGTAGTCAGGTTTATCAAAAGAGGACAGCAAGCTAAGGGCTTAGCTGCACAGTCTTTCAGTACACCCAGTGACCACTTTCACTGCATGCACGTGACATGATCCCGAGGAGCAGAACAAAGCTCACGGCTCTGAACAGGAACTTACCATCTTTCAGTATGCATTTTTTTCTCCACTGAGCATTCCCATGGTGATATAATTGTGAGGTAGACCTCTAATTAGCATTAAGATCCTAAATACCCTTGAGGAGGTAGGCTAGAAATTTTCGAGATCCTTTCCCAGTAATATACTCCACAATTACCTTTCAATTTACAGCCTAGATTTTACTCTAACCTCTAATATTTATATTTCTTTTATCACCCACTTGTGTCTCAGTAGCTACACTCAGAATTCATAAATTATGAAGGAAAGCAAACCAAAGATTGCTTCTCACTTCAGAGAATAAATTCTGAGATCAACAACTCAGGCTTTCTTTTCAGTTTCATCCTACTCCCGTAGAAGTAATGTACTAAGTGTCTCTGACATTTTTCCTTGTTTCATCTCAACATTCAAACTAGCCACTGTAGTGGAAATGTTCAAAATATCACCTAGATCAATCCTGTTAGTATGTAATAGGATCTGAACACACTCTTCACAGGTACCAATTTGAAACTGTGCTGTGTGCTGTCAAGGGTGAACATTTGAAAGAATGATTTTACTGTAAAAAGTGACTGTAAAAATGGCATTGTGGAATTTTCCCACCTCTAGGATTTCCATATCAAATAAGTGCACTTTACAAGTACAATATAGGGTGTTTTTTTTCTCCTAGTGTATTAAGCTGTAGAACCAACTCAGGACCCAGAAGACAGCACCAGGAAAACAGATATACATGCTTTGCAGGCCAAATGGGGACTTCATTTACACTCTGCTGGCACATTTAGTTTGATTATCATCTTGCATGTGAGATTTTTATCATCATTCTTCACAATGTGCACTTTATAACTGCAATCAGCATCTGACTGTTGTGTTCAAAATACCCCTTCACTCTCACTTTAGTTTATTTTGGTGGATTTAGACAGATGTACCAGACCTGTGCTGATGTCTGTGAGTCATGAACAGGAAGGAACTTGTTCTAGTCCAGCATATTAACATTTCATCACTGAAAAGCATAAAAATAAATATGTCTTTAAAAAAATAAACCCAAGTATTATGCAATCTATCTCCAGATAAATGAAAGGAACAAGTAAACAAGATATGTTGTCTAAATAGAAGAGCGTATGCCATTTTTGTGCACCATTTCAGGGCTGCTACAACCCTACAACCCTTACTTTGCAGCAAAGTAAGCACAAAAGAATTCCCCACCTTTGTGGTTGCAGGTGTCTTAGCACCTCACTTTAACACAATCACATGAATAAGCTGGTTTCTAATGCTGTTTTGCTTATTACATTTCTCGGTCTAATCTCTTCATTCCCCTAATATTTTTTCTTTTTTTTTCTGAGGCCCTTTTATGTAAACAAAATTGATAAAAGTCCTAATGAGACTGCCTAATTTCCTCCTTTCGATTCCTGAAACAAATAAGGGTCAGCAAACATTTGCATATCTGTTTGGGATAAGCCTGAGTGGAAATGGAGCAGAGGGATGGTTTTCTGTGCTGTTCTGTGATAAAATGAAGGTTTGTCTTGCCTCCATGTCTTGTTCTGGTTTTGTTTCTATGCTGAAAATATATCTTAGATTTTGCCATCACATCTAATAGCAGCAACAGTAACCATAGTAACAGTAAAAGAAATAGTAATAAAAATAACAATTATAACAACAATAACTACTAGTACTAATACTAATAATGTATTCTTATTCTAGAACACAACAGGAGAAGTACTAACCACCATAGCTGGAATAACTGGAGTTGTGATAACTGTGGCTTTAATTCTAATAATGACTTCATCCACTGAGCTCATCAGAAGGTCATGCTATGAGGTGTTCTGGTATACCCATCACCTCTTTGTGGTTTTCTTCACCGGTTTAATAATCCATGGTATGGGGTAGGTGTCTGCATAAACTACATGGGGTATATGTACACAGTTTGAGATGAAACACAGATCTTTTCCTGCTTACTAGCTCCTGTACACATCGCTGCAATCAGTAGTAAAGCTTTTCAGACCTGAGGGCAGTCATTCGGTTTTCACAGAAGCACAGAATGGTTTGTGTTAGAAGGGACCTTAATGATCACCTAGCTCCAAGTCCTCTGCCATGGGAAGGGACACCTCCCACTAGACCAGATTGCTAAAAACCCCATCAGCCTGTCCTTGTTATCATAATACACTTTTTATATCTATTTCACACATGCAGATTATATTGTCCACCACTAAAATACATACAGACCGTTACTGTTTGACACAGAGGAACTTTCAAACCCACAGCACTGTGTGCATGTTTCTGTTTTCTGGAGGTACATGGATGGCATCACCATGAGGCAGGCAACAGGCCAGTACAATATTTTGTGGTGTGTTACTTTTCTCACCTCTTTCCTTGTGGTTTGGGAGTTGCCACATCCATTTTGGCTCTCAGCGTTCCTGAAACTGGCCCAATTAATTAGTCAATTTACAGAGGCAGAGCTGCCAGCAAACACTGTGAGGCAGAGCTGCAAACAAATGCTGTAAACTGTATCCCAGCCTGATTAAAAAAATCCCCTGTCCTCTCTCTCTGGCAGAACTTTTAGAATCTAACTTCAAACAACCATGATGAACCCTTTAAAACCTTCAGCTTTGTAAGCTCCCTTTACCTAGCTAGCTGAACAACATTCCTCAGCAAGAGACTTCCCTGAAAAGTGGACACTTACTTAACAGCCCTACCAATACCATTCAATGAATGAGCTATTTGCTCCAGGCTGGGAGTGCACTGCAACAGAGCAGTTTCCTCTGGTCCTAGCACATACCTACCACTACCTTGTTTATGAAAAGGAGTCAAACCCCAAGGTTTCATCCATTTCCCACTTCTTTGTCCTTCCCAAGTGGTGAAACAAAACTCACTCAAGCCTACCTACTTTTCTGTGTTTCTGTCTGAACTGGTGGCAGAGCCAAACTAAGTATGGAATGGAAAATTGAGAGAAACAATATGAAAAAAACCAGGGTTTTCTCATAAAAATCTTCCTTCTCTACCGTAATCAACACCAGCTGAAACCCATTTAAACTGAACACTCAGGATTGATGTCTTTGGAAAAATTCACATCATTAACGTTCTCAGAAGTAAAGAAGCTAGAATTTAATATGTTTTGAGAGTATACATCTAATTACACTCCTCCAACTTTATTTGTAGCTTTTAAAAATGCATTTAGAAAGCAGTAAAGGAAAGAGAAGTTTGTCACTATTAAATTTTATCATTTTACTGAACAATACCAGATGCTCAAATACAGAGGTCAAAGAGCCTGCTCCAGAGAACTTGGAAGTCAAATTTTGCCACATACTGCAAAATGTACATTTCCTATGCAAGGACTCTCTGCAGTTCAGCTGCATTGATGTATACTAATACTATAATACAGTTCTTGCCTTTGGTCAAAAAGTCATGGCAAAACTAAAGGAAAGGTAATTTGAACAGGAGAGAGAACAGGATTGAAATGGCCAGTTCTTGAACTCTCATTTATCTCACAATTGGCATTTGACTACTAGTGCAAAACCTAGAGATGCACAGAAACCTTGGAAAGAAGCATATCACTGATGAACATTTTTGTTTTAAGTCAGCTTGTCCGAGGTCAGACGCCTCAGAGTCTGCTGCTTCACAATGTCACTTACTGTAAAGATCACTACTGGGAATGGGAGAATGCCACTCAGTGCCCTTTGCCTCAGTTTTCCGGCAATAAACCTGTGGTAAGAGTGATGTTTGTCTTCTGTTTTTAACTTTATGTCCTTCCTTGGGAGGCTAAATGTCTTAGGAAGCAGGGGGTTGGAGCGTATGCCAGTGACTGGCACTTAGTGTCATATTTAGAGACTAGTTTCACTTTCCTGTTCCATGACTTCTCCCCATGCATTAAGATAGTGATCCCAACCTCCTTTATAATCAATATAGACAGGTACAGATGAAGAGTGTTGTATACAATTTTGGTGTCATTAATACTGATTTTCAGTTTTGGAAGACCCTTTAGTTAGTGAACATTCTCTTTGAAGGGTATGAATATCAGCATTGTTCTCTATTTAAATCTGTTCCGTACATTTATTTTGAAGTATTCAGTATCACCAATATCCTTGATGTATTCATTGCACAAAAGATAGCCTCCAAGAGAAAACCTTATGAGGGTAGAGACATGGAAATACAATGGGACTGTAAAGCTAGGGATGCAAATTAATATTACTATTTTAACTAATAGTACTTTAGTATGGACAGTTTAAATACCAAGGGAGAATAAGCTGGAGAGAAAATTATGTCCTTGCTTTGGGGCACACGCTTCATATTGTCCAGCCTTGATGTCTTAAGTTAGGTAAAAAGGAGAGAATTTGAAACAATGAATTATGAAAGGGAAAGGCAAAAGGCAGGAAAAATGTCCCATGGAAGGGTGGTTTTGCTAGAACAAGATTGCAAATCCACAGGGGGTAATTAAGTAGCAGATTTGTACAGTATGTCAGATGTCTTGCATACAAACAAAATCATTCAACATTTTCAGCTCAAGATTTAGCTTGCTCATATGCAAGTTTTTGTTGTTTCTTCCAAAAAGAGAAAACATACCAAAAGAAATCCTAAAGGAGGAAAATTAGCATTCAGTGTCTGGTAGCTCTTTTAACGGCTGACATAGATTTTTCTTAAACTAAACTATTGTTAGCCACTATCCAACCTGCATATTAATGAGAAAATGAATGCCTCTCTAAAAATTTCAGCTACAATGTCACCATAAAAATCAATACATGGCTGCACACCATGAATACAGACACAAGCCTGCTTCCAATAGCATGTCTTGACATTCATTATCATAAAACTAGCTGGAAAGAACTTCCACTTCTCTGTGTTAAACCTATTTTGTCACACTTTCCTGCCTACCCAGGGCCATACTTGAAAAGTCACATTACTTTAAATGAATTGTAATAATACTATATGGCATATAGATCATCTATATGAACAGTGCCTTGCTGGATGGGTAATGTGCTGTGGTGTGATACCTGCTAGACACCACAGATAAATAGCAGAAATCTATTCAGAGGTTAAAAAGCCATGGTAAGGCTTCTGCAGCACTGGCAGGGGCAGGCGCAGGTGGGACTGAGCAGGGAGGGGACTGCCTTGTGCACAATTGGGGTTGTGTGAAGTGACAGGAGTGCACATCCTGCTGGCCATGGCTCCTGGGGGAGGCTACCATGCTGGAGTCTCTCTCTCAGTCATGCCACATCTGCTCCCCTGCTTCATATTTCACTAGGTAGGAAGGAGACCAATCTGGCTCCTGCTGAGGGTGATGAAGCACTTCTCTTGCACCTGGGGCACCTAACTTTTACCCTCATAGCCTCTCCTGAGCCATCACTGCCCCATCTCAGTTCATTCTCATTACAGAAGGAAACACTATACTTGGGTAAGAATACTAATGACCTGATTAGCCAGCCAGAGACGTGTTTCTTAGGAGCCTACTGCTCCTGGTGGATGCTCTGTTGTCCCAACCCAGCCAAAAGACATCTTGAATTGAATGCTCCATTGCACTGGAATAATGGCACATTTAAAATATCAGCTGAGCTCTTGCACAGGGTAGCCTGCAACCTTATCATTCCTGTCACGTGCTTTTATTTACAGGTAGCACAAATGAAAGGGAGGAAAAACAGATCTCATCATTACTGTTGCTTGATATATGCAAATATATTCAAAACATAAGATTACCCACTGTGAAGAGACACCTGTAGTATTTAGGGACAACGGATATGTTGAGTTTCTGCTTTAACTGAGAATCTTTTGGCTTATCCTGTTTCTTCCCATTATTAAATCATGCAGGTTTCTTTTAAATTTAATTTTCAAGACTTAACCTTGGGAAATTGCTGCTCCATCCTCTTAGCACTTTCTAAGGAAGCCACATAATTTTACGGCTTGCTTCTCATAAAACATACTTTATAACCCCTGTTACCCAGCTTGTGGAGCAAAGTCAATGTTTCAGCAAGTAAAGTTATTCTTTGGAGATTTTAAAAGTTCATGATTGTGGAGTATCCAGTTTGCTAGAATGAGCTGTGTAACTAACAAAAGTGGATATAAAACAGTATCTCTTCTCAGAAAAAAGAAAAAGATTATTTTTAAATCATGAAGACTCAATTACATCTAATTATCTTAGCTATCAGTGCAACTCAGTGAAATCATCAGCTAGTACACTTGAATGGCCAAGACTCTCTGATTGTTACAGTGATCAGTACATATGATTAGCAAGTATAAGCACAGCAATCATCTGCAATACTTAAAGTATGACCAGTTTAGTATCCTAGATAAAAAAAAAAAAAAAAAAATCAAATCACTTATTGATACAGAGTTGACTAATGGATTAAATGGAAATGTATCCCATGCCTCTAACTGAATATTTGGGACTTAATATTTTCTTATGCACCATCAGAAAACTCACAGCTGATAGTAAGAGTTATTTCTATGTGACCTCTCCAAAATACTTTAGACTTTGAAGAGAAGAAAAATAGTAAGGCTATGGGTAATATTGTATAAATGTATGCATCTATACGGCTTCAAGTCCAATGACATCTATATGTAACACCTAAATAGATTAATCATTTTTCCTTTTAGTTGGAAAAGATTTTAAAGGACTCTTCTTGGCCAGAGTACAGATAGATGTTAGCATCATTTTTGGGGGGTGTTTGTGAGGGAGTCCCATATGTCTGCTCCACAAGAAAGCCAGAACTGCTACAGCAGCAGCAAAAATACTCTACTGAGAAAGACAAACCAAAAAATCACAGAAGAAAATCAAGTAATTTCATTTTAGGTTACCTGCTGATTTAAACCAGAAAAGTATTTTTGTAGACATTCAAATAAATGTTGTTTTTTTAATACACAATTTTCTACAGGCTTGGAAGTGGATTTTAAGCCCTATGGTGTTGTATATCTGTGAAAGAACTGTTAGGCTTTGGAGATTTCAGCAGGAGGTGGTCATTACTAAGGTATGTAACATAGTTTGCATGTCTGCATTAAGGAAAAAAACATTATGTCAATGACTTCTTTATCATTTATAGGTAACTTTTCTATATTAGGACATCATTTTTCACTCCTAGCTTCAGCAACTCTTCCATCATTACCATGGTTTCAGCCAAGTATTGATTTTAGGCTTTGCATTTATTCCAAAAGCAAGTCCATAAGAGTATTCCATATGGAACCAAATTTGATTAATGAAGTACGAGACTTTACACCACCATAACACAAATATTTGTGCAGAGGGCCTCTCTTTTCAATGAACTAAAACCACGTTCCAGTGCAGTTAATGCCAGAGACGACCTCGACTTCAGTAGTGCACAGTTTTTACTTTAAAATATGGAGGCTCCCAAGGAGATGAAGGATTATATTATCAGTTAACATATATAGCAGAAGCTTCACTAACACTACTGTAACAATTTCTCCCAGCTGTAAATATCTCTATGTGCCAAGGACCTATGTAAGTCACAGCAGAATGGATGTAGAATGATGCTATTGAAGCAGCCGAGTCCACACCTATCAAGCTCGGGATCAGAAACAGGCGTATCTTGTGTGAGGGGAACAGCAGGTTGGATAAGTCTTGCTGCTGATTTCACAGAGTGGCTGTGATCTGAGAATCTCAATATACTATGTGTGATACATAAAACTGCTGCTTAACTGAGATTACCACTTTATAAAAGTATATTAGAATTGAGCTCACCTTGCCTTTTTCTTCATAATTCCATAATGTTGGAGGTGTTACATGAGAGTAAAACTGGGAGATTATTCTAATCAATTAAGAAATACTTTTGCACAGGTTATACTAAGAAAGTTGACAAATTTTTGAATTGCTACAACCTTTCCTCTCCCTCTTACACTCAGAAGGCAAGCTGCCCCACGATATATACTGTACATGCTCTCAAGCTATTGGGCAGCAACTTGCAGATTAAAAATCACTGTGCATCCCAATTTGCATCAACATGATTGCAAAGTCACCTGTAACCTAAGGAAAACAAACATTTATTCCTCTGAAAGAAAATAAAACAGGTCCTTTTATTATTGTTTAGGTGGTGACACATTCCTCTGGAGTCCTTGAGCTTCACATGAAGAAACATGGCTTTAAAATGGGGCCTGGTCAATATATCTTTCTACAGTGCCCATCTGTCTCACTGCTGGAGTGGCACCCTTTCACCCTCACCTCAGCTCCTGAGGAGGACTACTTCAGTGTTCACATACGCCTTGTCGGGGATTGGACTGCAGCCCTTTTCAAGGCCTTCGGAGCAGAGGAAAAGGCTTTCAAGGAATTGTGGATGTTACCAAGGTTTGAATAATAAAAAATAAATTTTAAAATGTTACCTCTACATTTTAAAATAAATGTTAACATTTTAACTTTAATTAATTTTGTGTATGTTCTTTATGATACAGTATTAGATTGTGCTTCGGGTCCATAAATACAACATTATGCCAAAAAACCCCCACAAATAAACAGCTATGAATTGGGGTCAGCAGCTACCAACGTGTGATGACTAATCCAAGATTTAAAGTCCATATTAATATCTCTATCTCTGTTGCTACCATCTAGACTTCTAACATCTATATCTACACCTAAAGATACCTATTTTGATAAATAGGTGTTTAATAGGTGAATTAAAATGATGCTGGAAGCTGTCTGCTAGCTTTGTGCCTGTATGCTTATGCTCTGATGGCACCCATCACCTGCCATCCAAAATTCCAGTCCTTTTTTCCTTTCAGTTACTTAGGTAGTTCCTGACACTTCTGCTTGAACCTTACTTCTTTTCAATAGCCTCCCTCAACCCTACTTTACTTTATAAAGGTTATTTGTGTTCACATTCTGTTATCTGTGTCATCTTAATACAAGCAAAGGTTCATGCTTTGTTGTTGCAAGTTAGTAGGGATCCTCTGAAGTTAATGGAGTCATCCTGACTTAACCAGTTAAGCCTCTGGCTCTATGTGTAATGGATTCAAACCATGTAGATCTACTCCTGCGCTACTTGCAGGAATAGGGGAGATTTTAAGCAAAGAAGAGACTAGCATAGGATCATTTAAATTCTGATGGAGAGTATGGAGCCTGAGACCAGAGGGACTTATTTCCCCCTGCAAAGCTTACAGGCACAACTGAGCTACAGGGGTATACTAGAGAGTGGGCACAGAGAAGAAAGTTTGTTTCAGTCCTTGCATATCTGTTAATAAGAATTAGAAATGAAAGCCATGCCTTTGTTAAAGGCAAATGGAATGAGAAGTATGCTATTTCAGCAGAACTAGAGCAAAAATAGTTCAAAGCAATTGACAACAAGTGTAAAAAATGAGAAAAGAGAAAAATCTTATCAAATGTTGCTTGCCACAATGCAGGGTTGAAATTAACAGCACTGTCATATACAAAGACTCTTCTTTTTATTCTTGTTAGGGTGACTAATGACATCATTCAGTTGCTTTCTTGCAATATACTAAAAGAAATAATTCAATACTTAAGCTAGCAATAAAGCAAAAAACAGGTCTTTTTCACAAGTTTCAATATCTAAAGATAAACACCAAATTGGCGACTATACTAAAAAATAACATACAGCAGAAATTGAGCAGAGGACAGAAGAACTAGCAACTGAATGATTAGGTAAGGTTCTAAAATTAAAATATGCATTTTTTAATTAATAAAAAAGATTAAAATAAATATAAAATAAATATAATACGTGCATTTATATAGGTAGCAAAGACATTTAGTTGTGATTTCTGACTAATTTTGGAGATAAGACCATAGAATTGACTATTCCCATGAAAATAATCAAGTTCCATATTATGCCTCTTCAGGCTTTTGGCTCACTTAATTGCTTATTTAGTACATTGTCCCAAAATCTGATTTCTGTTACAGTCAGGAGTACTACACAATCATGCTGATCAGCAAATGCTTAAATTATAAAAATAATCATAGAATGCATTAAGGATATTTTTTCAAAACTAAATATTTCTCCTGTCTTCCCAAAAAGTGTAATTTTTTTTCTAATGAAATTGTAGACATGGACTAAGAGAATATGGACAATCCAAACCATACCTAGAGTCTATAGCCTTATATTCTACTCCTCCTTGGAAAATGTAATATTTTTTTTGTCACTTTGTTTACTATCTTCCTACCTTACTCCATTCTCTCTAGATCAAATGAATGAGTTGCAAAGCTCAGTTTCTCCTTCTTCTCTTTCTCCTCCTTACTCCTCTAAGGCTTTGTATTTGGCTAAGCTCTCTAGCTATGGCTGAGCAAGGCATTCAAACCAATGATGGGATCTCAGTCACCTGAGGATTTAGGAGCAGACTTACTAGACAAATCTCTCTAAGGAATGATTTGGAAATAATTGAACCTGTCTTATAGCACAGAGACAAACTAGACAATCTCTTGAAATTCCTTCCAGATTAATTTTTTTCTCAATCTACTGACAACAATGAGAATTGCTCCGAAGCTCACTACATAGAAACTTACCTAAAAGCGTTTCTTAGGCATTTTACATATATACCACAAATGAACCATATTTTACAGGAAGTTTTGAGTGTTCAAAAAGCTCAGGGCTCTAGTATTTAAGATGAATTTTAAGGATGATTCCTGCAATAAAGTGCACAAAACAACATTAAATGAGAAGGAGTGAAAAAGAAAAGAAAGGAAGAAAGGAAGAAAGGAAGAAAGGAAGAAAGGAAGAAAGGAAGAAAGGAAGAAAGGAAGAAAGGAAGAAAGGAAGAAAGGAAGAAAGAAAGAACTTCTTTTTTCTAAGGACTGGTGTTAGTGAAACCATGTTCCAGAGCATGCATGTTGTATAAAAACAGTCTGGAAAGAGCACTACAAAGTACTGTGCATATTTACATTTCATGTAGCTAAAGGAATGAATCTGATTACTCAATAATCTTTTTCATCTCTAATTTTGACCAAAATTAATTCCTTGGCATCAGCAACATTGATTATAGGAGGTAGTAGCATAAACAAGCATTTCCCCTTACACATTTTGCCTTTACATCAGATACTAAGTACAGTATTATTGCCAAAAATGTATTCCTGAAATACATAAGAGCTGAGAAAATAATAGTTTCCCTGCATACAATGACCTCTTTCTTGCCTTCTCTGTTATTACTTTAACTCAAATACAGAACTTTTCAAAATTATTAATATAATCTGTTCCTCTTTACTTTGATATATATAATATAGCAAATAAAGCTCTAAAACAGGATGCTTTTCAGTAATTCGTAATTAAATATGCAAATTCCACAGCTAAATTTGGACATGCAATTATATGACTAATCACATTCCAGAAAGCCAGAAAATTGCAATTGCATGCTTAAATAGATGGCCAAGCCCCAAATCCACATGGGTGCTCTTGTTCTCTCATTTCAGAAAAGACAGTTGCTTTGCTATTAAATGGCACCCAATGAAAATTAAATGTATTTGTAAGAGCAATTTCTATGCCATCTTAAACATGCCTTTTCTCTTTTATTTTAACAGGAATTCAGTTTTGAAAATACGTAGCCCAACAAATGTTAACCTTTCTGCCATTTCATGTGTTGCTGACCCTTGACTAAATGTCTTATTGCTGTAGACTGGCTGTGGATGGACCATACGGATCTGCAAACACAGATATCTTCCACTACCAAGTCAGTGTGTGCATTGCAGCAGGAATTGGAGTCACACCATTTGCCTCTATTTTAAAATCCATTTGGTACAAATGCTGCAACCCTAACACAGTACTGGCACTGCAGAAGGTAGGTGGGAAACTTTTTCTTCATTAAAATTTCCACAAGTGCACCTATTTAGTCAGGGCAGAGAGGCAATTCAGAGCTAGAAGCTCACCTGAGTGCTTTAACTCACTCTCAGAAGCAGTCACTCACTTTCCAGCTGCTTCAGAAACTGTTCTGGGGTAGAGTCTCCTGAATTCACTGTCATTCCCTGAGAAAGAAGGTAGTCCCAGCTGCAGTGTTTTCGGCAAAACTGAAGAATCAGATTTTCAATAGAAATTGGAAGTAAATGTGGAATGTCTTTCATAGGTAGACAGATAGAGAGCTAGAAGAGAAATTTACCCTCTTTCTTACAAAAAATAAACCTTGCAAGGTGATCTCCGTCAGAAGTGAAGGGCAGCACTTGCTCCTTGTCCAGCTGCAAGTTTCACAAGGGTCCTTCAGCTGAGTGTCCTGGTCTAGAATGCTGCATTCAGCAACCATTAGCTGTTTTTCTTACATTGCAAAGTCAGAATATTAGCCAGCACAGAAGGAATAAAAAAAGGCATGTAAGGTCTGGAGGAGATGCATATATCAAGATGCACATTACCACCTCAAACCACTTTAATTATTTGGTTGAAAAAATATAATTTGGTTTATAAGACATGGATGGCACCAATTAACATACTCTTTATTTGCTAACCTGTTATACCTCTTCTGCTAATGGTATGTGAGGCAGCACTGGGGGAAAATAGGTGAAGAAGAGATAATGAGTGAAGTGAGGTGAGGGACAACAAGGTAACAGAGGAAAAAACTCAGCATTAAACATTCTCTTCCATATTCATCATGGCAAGTGGTAGCTTGTGGGCCTTACAGCTTCTTTTAGCTCATTTTCCAATGTAAAAGCTAAATCAGGAACCGTTCACCATTTCACATTTAAGGACAATTGTTGAAATTGCATTGGAGTGGACAGATCTCTGAGAGGGTCAATACATATGGAGCTGATTGCAGGACCAAGGGGCTGATCTTTTTAAATGGAAGAGTGTTAAAACTGGCATCTTAATGACAAGCTGCCACTGAAAAAGCATCTGGGATTTTAGTAACTGAGGAGTTGAGGACAGGTTCAAATTGCCAGGGGGAATCTTTGAGGCAGCAAAAGCACTGAGAACGGAGGGAAATAAAAATGGAAATATGTGTTATATGTGAAAAGAAGTGTATTTGCAAACACCACAATTGTACCAGAATTATCTTTTCCACTGGAAGCAGAGCTATGTATATGTATATACACTTTACATATGAACATTATATATATTCTACATATATACAAGCGAAAGTGTTATTATTTTCATTGCTGTTGATCTCTTAAGGGGAAAAGAACAGAATTTAGCTATGCATTGATAGTATACCTGAGGGTGTTCATTCATAGCTTAGGTAGAATCTTGGGTAAGTATGCCTGCAAAGATAAATGCATGGTGCATTCTGCCATGGTTTTCTGCTATAGAGTTCAGTTTTTCTGAATTCCTCTGAAATACAAGATTATCGTGATTTCTACATGTCTTTTCTTTATATCTTGGCTTCTTTATTGGTGCAGTTGGAATAACGATGCTTATTTTTCACAGGTGTTATGAGGCTAAATTTCATCAGTGCTTGTAAAATATTTTGAAAGTGTGGATGAAAGGTCCTGGGGAAGTTCACACCATTACCTAAAAAAATTTAGTAGTCATCTCAGTGAGAGTGATTAATTTCAGGGTAGCTCCACATTTTTTTTTCCATTGGTTAAAAGCTTCCACTTGTGGTATAATTACAAATAATTTAATCTTCCTCAAAGTATTCAGCACTCTCTTTCTGCCATGATGAGTACCATAGAAATGTCTATTAAGGAAATAAATAAGAGGTTTTTCTTTTTTTTTTTTTTGACAACTTCGTTTGGATTTGAGTACAGCTATCATTATGCTTATTGAACTAATATTTCTTAGTGTTGCCCACATACAGTGGAGATATAAATACTCACAGCTTCCATAATGTCTGCAGCTGTATAATTTAAAAAACCCAGCAAATCAAAAGGAATACACATTTATCTAATTGTTTCTTCACAATTAAATAGCCTTAGAGCCCTCATTTCCCTATCATTTTTTTGCAATGAGGAAGAGCACTACTACTAGTCATGGCTGGAAAGTTTCTACTGGCTTTAGTCATGCATAATATGATTTTTTTTCACATTAGTGGTCTCATTTTTCAGATCAATTGCTGCTGAAATTGATAAAACTGTACTGATTCATCAGATGCTAATACTAGCAAACATCCACTTTCTTTTCCCCACAAGAGATGTAACGAAGGTCCTGCAGAGTATCACCAAAGATCCATCTAGCCCAGTATCTTGTCTCCAACAGTGTCTCTTCATGAACACCTTGGGAAAAGTATGCAGACCAGAGAAATCATATGGTGATTAGTTTTTAGGGCCACTTTCTCACCTTTGAATGACTTGTAGTTCAGTAATGCTTTCAGAGAAGATCTGTACCTCTGTGTTTAATATCCCTTCACAGATTTTTCTTCCATGAATTAATCTAATTGCTTTTTTAATCTGTGTAGACTGTAGTAAACCACAGCACGTTAGACAATAGGTTCGGCTACATACTGTGCAGAAAACAAAATCAGCCTCTTCCATTTGCTTTGAGACCGACTGCCGGGCCTGAGGCAAACTTCTGCTTCAAGCTCTGTCCCAATTCACAGCCTTCTCTACAAAAATTCTGTCTTGAAGACCTAAAAAACTGGCCTCTTTTTGCTGTCAAATGTAACCATCTTTCTGAGCTGTGTTTGAGAACACTTTAGGCTTCTTGCTTCAAATTCAGGGATATAAATTTGAACCTTGCCCTGTATTTATATGAAAGGCTGCTTGCTGCCACCCTAGCTCTAAGTCAATGCCTCATGCAGGCTGCCAAACCCCCATCTCCCGCATGCTCCAGGCTGCAGGCACTCCTGTGCCTTACCTGGAGTGGTCCACTGGAGCAATTAATTACACTGAAGAAGATCTAGGATTTTTTTTTTGTATGCTACAGCCCAAGATAATGTGGTATACTGAAAAGCAGGGAGGGCTGGATGTTTGCTGGGAGATGCCCAGCTGCAGGTGTAAGATGGTTTTGCAAGGACTAGTCATGCCTAAGAGGGAGCAGCAAGAGTCAGGGGTGAGGGTACCTCCCTGCATCCTCTGCTTCATCGCCTTTTACACCCCTTTGGTGAAAAGCTGGCTTTGCCCACAGCTGCAGCTCCAACTCTGCCTTCAGGGAGCAGGGAGAAATAGATGGATGGTCATCAACAGATAATTATTAATGACTTTCCACGTGAGAGTAGCTGATTTACAAAGTATGTTCTTTCACCTTACAGGAAAGATGTATCAGAGCTCTTGCTCTTGCCTGTTGTACAAAATTCAGGATGTGGGAAACCAAAAGATAAATATGCATGAGTTGGAAGGGAGCAGAGCATTACAGAAATAAGTGACTACTCAAACCCCTGCATTACAGATCTGATTAATAGGAATACTGCATCTAACTCAATTTGAAAAAAAGGGCATTTGCAAAATATAAGACACTTTACTTGGGCAAGCCATCAAGTTGATGAATGCAGTCAATATGGGTAGGGTGGGTGGAGACTAATGAAACATAAATCTAAACCAGAGTTTTAAGGGTCCTAAATAATTGCAGTCAGTTAATAGTATGAGGCTTACAAGAAAAATAGCAGGATTCAGAATAATTGTTTAATTATAGAAATGCACTGGTGCTGACTTTATTCTACTGTTTTAATAAGGATTAATTTTATTGTGCATTTATTGTATTTTAATTATATATGTAATATGTTGTGCTATGCTATGGGAGTCAGTGTAAAGAAAGAAAGACTTTTTTGTAGCCGCCATTTCTTTTAACATATTGTACTAGAAGTCCTCTTTGATCTAAGGGAAACGAATTCCTTTTACCCATAAGTCATCCTTCTTCACTACCTCTTTTCTTTCTAAGATTATAATCGTGGCCAAAAATACTCCTTATAATGACACTTTTTCTTCATTATCAAATGGTCTCCACCTCTAACATGTAAAAATCAGACAATACAATGGGTCCTGCTTCAGCAAAACTGTACCAGGGATGAGCCTACAGAATTTCTGTAGCTTCAGAAAGCTGTATGCTTTCTCGAGAGGACTGTGTCAGAAGTAGCTTGACCCAATCCAGTTGGACTGGCTGTTACTGTGACAGCTAGGTCTGCAACCAATTAAAAGCACTCCTTCAAGCTCCATAGTCTGGAAACCAGTTCCCCAATTTGAAAACCATATTGTCTCAATTCACTGGCTGGCTTTTCTGCCTCCTCCCCTGAATGTTCTTGGCTCCCAGTCCTGCCCACATGCTCCCAGTTGCTACCCAATGCAAAATTCCTTATTTATTTAGAAATACATGCCTTCTCTCCACACACATGTACTAAGTATACATTTCCATAAAATGAACTGCTAAACAGACTTGAGAAATAAGATGATCAAGTAGAGTCTGGGGGAAGAAATTTCTCTCTACAAATCAACAGCCGTGGTGGGACACAGACTGACAGCACTCAGTGGGCTGATTTTCAAGGTGCTGAGGATGTAGAGCAAGTGGTGACTTCAGAATTCAGATGCAAAAAACTACATAAAGGTTAAGGTAATAAATCTTACCTAGTTTCGGTAATTTAAAATCATGCTGGTTTTGGCCACAAAAAAAAAGAAAGGCAATAGAGTCAGTGGGCTTGCTTTTTCCTCATAATCTATGCCAGTGTAAATCAGCAGCAACCTCCCTACACAAAGCAATGAGGTCATATTTAAGGCAAAATATTGAAACAGAAGGGAAAAAATCAAACAGCCAAGATGGTTGGTACTCAAGTTCTACAGACAGTCCTATTCCTGGGCTGTAAAAATACCCTGCTTAACCCTGAATGCTTTATCTCTGTGTCTGCGATCATACATCATTTATATTTCTTACAGAAACCACAGATGGTCCCTTACAGTACACTCAGATACAGGAAACATCTCAAATTACTGTTAGTCTTTTTCACCAAATCTGCACCGAAGCATGGTATTACCACATTTTTCTCCCACCACCTTACCAGAAGTCTGACAGCCTAGTATATTTATTCTTCGAGAAATCTCTTTACAGCTTTCTGGTTTCTTTCTCTGTTTTTTCACTTCAGAAGTGTCCAATATTCATTTTATCTCATTGATCCTGTGGAAAAGGGCTACAATTTCCAAAATATCAGAGCCATCGCAATGACTGCCTTGGGGACATACCTTCCAATCACCTTTGATATTGTGGTACAATAAAAGACAGAGGGGCTGGTGAGCACAAAGAGAGATAGGCTGGAGGAAACTATGGGATTTTGTAACAAAATAAAAATCAGTCACAATAAAATAAATTCCAATCATCCAGTTTTTATAAGCTTATACATTGCCCTTCATGCTGTTCCTTTTTCATCTGAAATTGTTTTATTTTAGAATTTTTCCACGTTTGTGAATTATTTCTCTAGACACACTATAAAAATAATTACACTCAAAATTACATTGCCTGCAGAGGCCCATTCTAGGTCTGGCATCCTCTGGTCAAAAGTAATGGTGGAATGTGTGGTAAGAGCTACAGAATTCGAGCCATAAGAATTGCAATCAGATTTGTCTTGTAATTGTGGTTCATACTGCCATCAGGGTAGCGCCCGGGCAGACAACCTGAGAACTTCAGACATTCATCCTCTGGGCGGTGCAGGAACTCTCAGTTGAGTCATCTCCACAGCTGGACTGGCTTAAGACGAGGGACTGAGCTGAAACCAGAGGAGTGGACTGGTCCCAGTCTTCTCCACAGCACAGCATTGCTAGAGGAGATGTCCAAGTAGGAAATTATGACTGTGCTGAAGACCCCCTAAAATAATTCCTGATGGGCATAGGAGGGCCTGAGACAGTGCATTGATAGATCCTGAGGGAGGAATCTCACCAGTCCTGATGCTCCACAGTTCCTGTTGCAAATGTATTAACTTGCACACAGATAAGACAGTTGCAAACGGTCATCAGAAACCATTCCTGCAGAAGTGGTCACACAGGACAGCCTTTTATACATAGTAAATTAGTTAGAAGATGCTTTGTAAGCAGTTAAGACAATAGATCACATTAGATCTTGTACATGCTGGAGTGGTCCCTGTGTCAGCTAGCTATAAAAACTGAGCAGAAAAAGTGGAGTCTCACTGGTGAAGGGCCTTGAGGGGAAGCCATACGAGGAGTGGCTGAGGTCATTTGGTCTGTTCAGCCTGGAGAAGAGGAGACTGAGAGGAAACCTCATTGCAGTCTACCACTTCCCTGAGGGGAAGAGGAGGTGCAGGCACTGATCTCTTCTCTGTGGTGACCAGTGACAAGACCCAAGGGAATGGCTTGGAGTTGCGTCGGGGGAGGTTTAGGTTGGATATTAAAAAAAGGTTCTTCAAAGGTTGGGTACTGGAACAGGCTCCCCAAGGAAGTGGTCACAGCACCAAGTCTGACAGAGTTCAAGAAGCATTTGAATGATACTGTCAGGCACATGGTGTGACTCTCAGGGATGGTCCTGTGCAGGGCTAAGAGTTGAACTCGATGATCAATGTGGGTCCAACTCAGCATATTCTGTGCTTCCAGCTGAAGATGCCACAGGAAGGACTCTTGAAATGGAAATTATCATAACCACATGGACAGTGACTAACCATCTTGTTTTGAGAGATCTTATTCCCTATGCAAGCATTACCTTATGCCAAGATATTAATAAATTAGCTTCTTAAAACCAAACCAAACCAACCAACCAACCAAACCAAATCAAACTCATTGCTATATTTATGATTGACTGCAGTAGAGTAGGAATAGACAGAAGTAAGCCATAGGAATGATTAAAGGATGCTTCTCCGCGACAGATCCCAGAAATGTTTGGTTTGTCATAGAGAGGATTATAGGATGACTTGATCCCAGCCTCTAATGTATACATGGGGAACAAAACTTTAATACCAGGTTCTCCAATAAAATAGACAACAAAACAAGCTGAAAAGTGAAACTAGAGAAATCTAGATGAAAAAAAGTGTCAATTTTTCATAGAGAGGAGGTTTTCAACCAGTAGAAAAATGATCATAGAATATTGGTTCATTTTATACATTTGGCAACTTTAAAATTATAGTGTCACATTTCTCTAGGAACTATATGCTCCAGTTTAAACATGACATGCATAAACATGACATAGATGTTCATCTTCACTAACACATTAATACATTCATTTATGGTTTAAGAGGAAAATTAAATTTTTAGAAGACAGAAACTACATAATCAAAATGATGTGTAATTATGTCTAAATTTACAGTGGAGAAGAGTCACACACTATATGGTTAATGAGTCGAGCCAGTCATTAGGAAGTTTTATTGAAAGTTTGCTTTTTGTTAAATCTCTTTAATTTTATCTTACAGGTTTACTTTTACTGGATTTGTCGAGACCCATCAGCATTTGAGTGGTTTGCTGATCTTCTGTTCCATTTGGAAACAAAAATGACTGAAAAATGGAAAAATGATTTTCTAAGTTATCATATATTTCTTACTGGCTGGGATGAAAGTCAGGTAATAATGAAACTGTTACAAGTCTGAGTTAACGTACCTTGCTTTTTCAGTATGGTAACATACGGAACAGGAACAGCTGAATAAATGACGGATGAAGCAGAGAGACAAAAAACTGTAAATATGAAGACACTAAGCCGTCTGTTTTCACTTCACATTTAGGAAAAGAGGAATGGAGTAATCAAGCCAGTGATTCTTGTCTTGCATGAAGATGATTACCAGGTGTCTCACAGAAAAGTGCATAGAGCCTTTCAGGAGCTTGTGAAGGGATGTTTTGTCCACATCTTTGGAACAGTCTTTCATTAGATTCTGGCATTTTTGAACAGAAATATGGAGGACTGTATAAAAAATGTCAGTGTTGTTTACTCTTATTATTTACTATAACTTCTGTTGTTCACATATATGATCAGTGCACTTTTGAAACCTACTGTGCTTAGAACACTTTGGCAACCAGCTCTGTGGTCTAATTCATGTTGTTTGAAAAGACATTTTCTCTGATTGACTTTAAATTTGCCATCTCATAATTTCATTGGATCATCTCACCTCAGGCACGTAATCCTTAGACTGGGTCAATATTATTGAAATTCTTTGGTCTTTACCTAAACCCAAATGTGTTGATTTTCTCATTCTCTTTTTCTTTTCCTTTTTTTAATGGATCACTTAGACCATGCAGTGATCAGTTAGGCTCCTGCCAGAAAAACTCTCACAGGAAAGTCTTTGCTCTACTGTTTTATTTCCTGCTGTCTCTGTTGAATGAAGGACTGTCTAGTAGAGATGAAAAAAAATACAAGTTTCATACAGCTTTCCCTTTTCTGCCTCTGCTGATACAAAAAACCCCGTTGTTTCTTTCTGCTTTCCTTAGAGTTTCTGTCAAGTAAGGAGGTATGTGCATAAAGCTGTATTCAGAAAAATCTACTCCCATTGTGAAGTATATGGCAGTTATAGAAACCACCACTCTGCATTAGCAATATTACAGGGTATTACCTAAAACCTCTTTTGAAAGAAGCTATTGAGGAACCTAACAAAACACAAAGTTGCCCTTATCTCTCAAGTATCATAATCTCACTTCCCTCTTGGGCAAACGTCAGGCCAGAAGTCAGGTAAACAACTATTCTTGCTGGGGCACCTGTCTCTCTTCACTCATGCGTTCTGTACTTTTCTGAAGTCCCTTCTTCTTCTCTTCAACCCCATCATCCAGCCTCCTGTCAGCACTGCTTTGGTGTCTTGTGCTGCTTCCTTGCTTACACTGGTACTGCTCTTGCTTCTAGAGCCCCTTAGCATCCCACCTCTACAGGGCTGTAGGGGAAGAGGAATGTTCTTTAGTGACTGTTTCCCCTATTCTGACCAAGTCCTGGGCACTGTGCTCAGTAAAAGCCTCATCTTCAGACATCATTATCTAACAGGACTTACTTATTTTTAGTAAATTCCTGTTCATCACTCCTTTAAATTTGAGCCTCAGCACCAGTAATATTTGGATGATGCTTTACTTCTCCCTTAGCAAAAAACAAAACAACGTTCTGTGCGTTCTCTCCCTGTCTCACCACAGGTTATCAGTGGTCAAGTGAAGCTGAACCCAAGAAGGATGGGCAATTTACACCTCCTAGTACACCCTCCGTTACTGACAGGTGTTTACTCCTCAGACATGTTTGTTCAATGCTTTGAGCTCTTTGCAGATTCCGTGTTGGCAACAGATGGTCAAGCAGATATGGCACACGTCTTCCTCTGCTTGGACAAGCACTCATGTTTCAGCCTATTGCTCCTTGCAGTGCCCCTGAGATTCCTAAGCAATTTTAATGCTGTGAACTATAGCAAAGGCTAACACCAAAAATCCTCATGTGGGAAAGTTCCACTTAATGAGAACAGAAACAGCTCATCTGTTCAGTGTAATTGCTGTAAACAATTAACAAATCCTGCAGTTTTCTACCTCCCACTCTCACCAAACACCTTCTTTCTTAGACTATTCCAAGTCCTTCAAGGCATTGGCCAAGACTAACAAGAACTAACTAACAAGAACTAACTAACCTTTTAGAAACATGACCTCTTGTGACAACTTGACAAGAATAATTGTGTTGGTAAGGAACATGGAAGACTCATTAGCAGAAGAAATATACAGTACCGTCAGGAAATGGATCTAAATTTCAGCAAGCACTTCTGCAAAAGATGATGATGCTAAGGCCTGGACTAAATGCAAAGCCCGTTTTTAAACTTAGCTTTCCTCTGGTAATTTCTTGATAGTGACGGTAATGATGATAGTCTGTAGAGGAAACAAGCATATTACTCCTACAGAATAGCAGTACAATTAGGAGCGATGGTGGATTTCGTTTTTAAATGCATCTGGGAAGTACTCAGATAGCATGGTAATGGGTGTAGTACAGGAGATGGAGGACAGTAAATGCCCATGAAATCAGGATTTTTGTTGGCACTGGGAGCTGTGCAGCTCGCTCAGTTCAGTGCTTCACCTGAGCTGATCTGCTTTCTGCACCTGCCTCCACCTCAGGAGAAGAGTCAAAACAGTGAGCGTTTTACACAGAATAACAGAATTCTTAGGACTGGAAGAGACCTCTCGAGATCAACCAGTCCAAACCCCTGCCAAGGCAGTGTCCCCTAGAGCAGGTGACACAGGAACATGTCCAGGTGTGTTTTGAATGTCTCCAGAGAAGGAGAATTCACGACCTCCCTGGGCAGCCTGTTCCAGTGCTCTGCCACCCTCAGTGTAAAGAAGCTTCTTCCCCATGTTGAGGTGGAACTTCCTGTGTTTTAGTTTACGGTCACTGCTCCTTGTCCTGTCCCTGGACATCACTGAAAAGAGTCTGGCACCATCTTCTTGGCATATTTGAGATCTTTATATGCATTGATGAGATCCCCTCGCAGTCTCCTCTTCTCTAGACTGAACTGGCCCAGCTCCTGCAGTCTCTCCTCATAACAGATGCTCCAGACCCCTAATCATCTTTGTAGCCCCCTACTGGACCCTGCTTTTACCCTTTCTGAGCTGATACATCCACTGTCTTTTTCATCAACAGAATGCTCTGGACTTACTTAAGGTGCATGTACTTGCTAATTTTTATTGTCAAACTCTCTTACAGTAAACTTTGCTCTCTTTCCTAAACTCCAACTTGGCCTTAAAATGGTGAGTGTCACTTCAGGAACTCCAATGAAGGAAGTGTAGGGTGAGATATTCAAACGTTGAGAAGAGGTTTGGAAATCTAAGACCTGCCTCTAAAAGTGATTGAGTCACTAGGCCCAGGTCAGTAAAGACAGATATGTAATCTCAACTCATTTCAAATATTTCATATCAAGAAACTGAGCTCCTCCTGAGGTCTTGGGTATTTTTGGAAGTGCTTTTTACAGTTCTGGTCATATTGCAAACTCTTGAATACTCCTCCCCTTCTCTGTCCTCTCCTCATCTTGCCTCTCTTCGCCTCACCTCACCTTGCCTCTCCTCTCCTACCATTTGATAATTACACAGCTTCTCTTCCCTCATTCCATCTTTCACAGTGAAGCAGCATTATTGCTTTCTTCTCTTACTTGGAGTATATGTTGTTGACTCTAAAATTATTATCTTGCAAATTTGCCTTTAGGCTACTCACATAGCCCTACATTGTGATGACAAGATGGATGTAATTACTGGTTTGAGACAGAAAACCTGTTATGGAAGGCCAAACTGGGACAATGAGTTCAAGCAACTAGCTGAAAACCATCCTAGGTAAGGCAGGCTGGCTTCTAACCTTGTTAGGTAACTCTTCTCTCAGTATAAACAGTGGGAGGAGGGGAGAGCAAACCTTTCTAAATGACCCTTTTAAAATAATTTCTTCTTTTTTGCTGTGTGGAAAGAAGATTTATGCTTAATGAAGCTTTTAATGAAGAAATCTCGGAAAGAGAATGCCAATAAAATCTAATTTTTGGACAAGAAAATCTAATATTTAGAAGTATTTCAATATCCTGGCCTTTGTCCAGATATAATTGAAACACACAATCCAATTACTGTTCTGCACAAAGGACAAAGTAGCATTAATTTCCCTTGAAGATGGTTATTAAAGAGATAAACTGTGATTTTTTTTCTTATGATGTCAGGGATGTTTGTTCCCCTAACATATTTGGCTACTCTTGCAAGACTTTGCTATTCTGTTATTAGTTCATCTCTGCTGGCAAAGAGAGTTCATTTGAACTTGGTGCATTTGCTGGTGGTCTGAGAAAAGCTTCTTTGTTCCTGAAAGCCTTTGAAGCAAGAATTTGAAATATTTTGTGTTCAGCAGTACAAAATTCCAGAATCTTTGTGACTCTTTATGATTTCCAAACATTTACCTGCTAACGCAAAATAAAGGCTTGCACTTGGGAGACAGAGATACAAAAAGAAAAAGGAGAAAACTTTTTTTAAAAGATGAAAAAGACCCAAGAAAAAGCTGAAAGGGAGGAGATCAAAGAGAATACAGTAAGCTACAAGAATACCATAAAATTGCAAAAATAACAGTAATAGAGAAACCATTTGATGGAGGTCAAAATAAATACAATCAGGAAATATGAAAGATTAAAACCATAAAAAGGCCAAGAATAGAAAGTATGACTTTTGAAAGACCTTTCATAGGAATTCTACTGCATAAACAGAGCTTTTAAAGTTATAGTTGAAACATTACTTTTTGCTAGTTACTTTTAAGTACAGATGACATAAAAAATGGTTTTCTGTTGCTTGATGGGGAGAGGGGCATTAACTTTCTATACTGGATCTTGAGGTAGTTCCTTACAAAGACAGTGCTAAACTGACAGAAAAAATCTGCATATGCCCATGTTTATGATCAGTGTCGAACCTTTTAATGAAAACCTTGCATGAAATAGGGATTCATTATGAGAAAAAAAGATACCCTATCTCTTGCTCTGTTATAGAGGATTCAAGAAGCAAAGGAACTGAAGAGTTTCTACTGTGTGATAGTAGAATCAGCTTTACAAACTGACTAAATTTTTAGTCTCTGCATCTAGGTTGATAGAGCTCCCCTTCACTGCAATACCATCTTTTAGCAGATTAGCAGGAATATACCACTCCAGGTTAAACTTAGTGCAATCCAGCAGCAGAGCAATATGCTTGCTACTTCTGGGGGCTATGGCTTGGGCACAAAAATCTTACCTACAGCCCTTTCTTTACAGCAGGAAATTTTTTGAAACTCATGCTTCACTTGTCACTTGCACTGCGCTTATGTAGATTGAGTTTGCCCCACTAGCACAGCACGTGTGTGAATCTGTCTGCACGTATGTTTTAAAACAATACATTTAATGTACTTAGTAACAAAACCTTTAGACAGTTTGTAGCAGGTAACCAGGTTACCAGCTCCCTATAACACTCGTGCATATGAACACAATTGTTTTTTACATTTGTCTTGTTCTAATTTTATAAGAAGTACATATTTACAAATTTTGTTATTAAATCAGCCATTTAAAATTGTCTCTAGGCAGAAAAGTGTTAGGGAGGGGGTGAAGAAAACTCAGAACCAACTGAGCATTTAGGAAAAAAAAATAATTTATCTGGAGAAAAAGCATTTAAAATTTTCGGCACAAACAGTATGTTTGCTTCTCTGATTAAAAAAAAGCTATGAAGATCAAAACCAAAAAGCTACCACTTAAAATAGTTTGTGACCTCTAATATAGCAATCCTAATAAATAATGTAGTAAGATATAATAAACACTAAAGTATTAAAATAATTATACTGCAATACAGTAACACAGATTATACAGTACATAACACAAAGTATACACTAACACAAAATTTTTCAAATGTATTTCTCAAAAAGCCATTTCAAAAGATGCAAAGCTGGAGGCAGCCAAAAGGTACAGTTTATTCATTTACACTGCTATTCTCATGTTTTTGTTGTTATTGCAATTACAGCAACAGTATTGGCGTATTCTTCTGTGGACCCAAGACTCTCTCTAAGATCCTGCAAAAGACATGCAACTCATATTCGTCAGTTGATCCAAGAGGAGTTCAGTTTCACTATAACAAAGAAAGTTTCTAGGCTGTACTTCTAAACTATGTAATAGTATTACCAAATTTTGTATTTTTTTCCCTTCACTTTCTCCTCCTCTACTCATTCTGCAGCATTTACACCAGATAATAAGAGTTGTAAACTGAAACAGGTGTATTGACTTCAGTAGAAAAATGCTATCTATGCCAACTAAAGATTTGGACCCCTTCCTTATCCTTTCCTTCACAGAACTGAAAGGCCAATTCTCCATTGCTTACTTAATGATGCTGTGAATCTCTCTACACCTGTGTGAAAACAAGCCCGAATCACTTAACTTTGAAGAAAAAGGCATGAGTAAAATGGACATTTAGAACTGTACTCCACTGTTGTGTATGATTGCAGGTGATACATTCCTACTGTTTAAATCACTCCCATTGAAAGCATTTTCCTTCCTGGTGTTCTGATTTTACACTCCTATAGTCTCTCACTGCACATACATTCACATCTACATCACTTTTTGTGCCATAGCAATACTATTTATATACACACTGTCCAATGAATTCCTTCTGCCCTACCAAATTAACCACCATTTAAACCTGTCATTTCCACAGCAATGGTGGCTGTGCATGCCATAGGCTAATATGTACTTAGGTTTAATATGCTAAGGACACTCCAGAAATTTTTGCACTCAGCAAATGGATCTCCTGAGACATGCAACTGAAACTGCAGGAAAAAGTTTCATGATAGAGTGAGTGAGGTGGGAATGTACCCCCAGCATCTCCTCCAAGCTTCTTGCTCAGAGCTGATTCTGTGAAGAGAGGAGTGACATTTGCATTCTTCCAATCCTCAGGAACTTCCTCCCATCACCATGACTATTTAAAAATAAAGAATGGCCAGTTCCCTCAGCACTTGTGGATGCATCCTATCAGTTTCCATGGAGTTGTTTAAAATCTCCCTAACTTTATCTTCCTTCACTAAGGGTGAGTATGAATTGCTTCAGATCTTCCCACTTGCCTCAGAAGCCAGGGATCTCTGAAGGTCAGCCTTACCTGTAAAGACTGAGATGAAAAAGGCATTGAGTACCTCCACCTTTCTCCATGGCCCTGAGCACCAGTCAGCACCCCATTCAGAAGCAAACCAACATTTTCCTAATCTTCCTTTTGCTATTCACTTATGCATAGCAGCTCTTCTTCTTGCCCTTCACTTCTCTCACCAGATTCAAGTCCCAATGGGCTTTGGCTTCCCTGACCCCATCCCAGCACACTCATTGTCTCTATATTCCCTGCATCGCATGCCCTTTCTTCCATCTCCTGTATGCCTCCCTTTGTGCTTTGGTTGTGTCAGGAGGGATTTGTTCAACCATACAGGCCTCCTACCACACTTGATTGACTTAGTCCACAGCAAAAGGGATCATTTTTGAACTTGAAGAAGGTGATTCTTGAAAATCCACCAGTTCTCCTGGATCTCTCTTCTCTTTAGGATCATACTGCATGGGATACTTCTAAGCATCAAATTCCTCCAGTGTCCTCTCCATGTTATGTGTATTAGTGTACAGGCACTTCAGAAAAGGCCTCCAATCGTGATTTTTCCAAAAGAGGTGTTAGAGCTTCTCCCACCCTGCTTTTCCGTAGGCACGTGTTTGTTTGTGTGGATCCCCTTGGAGTAGGCCCCCTTCTGCCCTGTTTTGTTAGTTGTGAAATCTCTCCTGTTCACATCATCCCACACAAGTTACTTGTTGCTTTTGTCCACCACTTCCTCATTTGATTGTTCGTCATCCGCTCCCTCCCCATCATGTAACATTCTGATAAGCTACTAAAGGGAGAAAAATATTTCCCTATATCCCAGCGCAGAAAGTTAAAGGAAAACTATATTCAAATTGGTCTGAGGCATAACAGAGTTCACCAGGATCACATAACACATTTATCCAGCCACATGATAAAAAGGGGAGGTAGAAAACATCCTGTGTATGTCAGCACTTGAATAAAAAATGACAACATTAGATATGTACACTTACCCACAGATACAAAAATGCCCACTAGAGGGGACATAACTGTATAGACAAAAGCAACAGAACAGTAAAAATTATGTGACAGAAGATTCCAATATTATTTTATACATCTTATACTGGGGATACAGTATGTGTGAACTGAGATTGTTCTACAAGATACAGTTGTATTATTATTGTATTATTATTAAGTTTAGGGCAATGCATCTTTGTTTTAAAATTGTTGACATTTTTGTAAATGCCTGCCTATGTGAGATGATTAATGTGGTGCATACTGTGTAGCAGTAGAGTGAGTAGAGAATTAGAGCCTCTGCCAGTTCACCTAGAGGCACTTATCTTTTATTTTTTCCCTTGGCGCCCATGCTGAGCCTAGGGGTAAGCTGACACATTTTCTAATACAAATTAAGCTCCTTTTTTTTATGTGTGTTGAAAATCTTGAAGGAAATGAGAAATGTGTGTAGGCACCAATACCAGCTGACATTACATGAAAGAAAGAGGTGACAATTTCCTGCAGATTCTGAATGATTGTTTCAATGCAGTTGGATTGGAGGTAACAAGCACAAAGACATTGTGCTGCCAGAAAAACAGGATCTGTTCTCCCCTCAGTCTCATGCAACAAGATGTAACATTTAGCTTCTGGCTCAACATGGCATCTCTTCACTGCTTTGATTTATTCCCACTTTTGCAAATCACTGTGGTATGCTACAGGAGATGCATTTAGAGCCCTTGTTATAGTTCATTGAGTAGCACTGCTGTTATCACCACCAGAGGAGAATTTCACTTGTATCAAGACTGAGTGACCTACAATAAAGGAAAAATAATAATAAAAAAAAAAGTGGGGAGGTTTGTTGGACTAGGATGAAACTACATTTAGGTTGAATGAAAATCCCTTTATTACAAATACAATTTGAATCAAAATGGGAACTAGGAAGATTTGGCTTCCTGCCTTGTTTTGAATAACACTGAGCACACAGCAGCTATGATAATGTGAGTGCATTTGTAATGACTCTATTATTGTGTTTATATATGGAAACATCATTCACTGTCAGGGAAAATGAAAGATATCTTCATGGATTTGTCCATTCAGCTGCTTCAGCAGGAAGTGTTCAGCACTGTGTAGGAAAATATTATTAAATAAAATACAGTCATAACAGCACAGACTCACCACATCCTGTGACAGAAAACTAATCATAGACAAGGATCATAAATACACACATTAATTACTTTGGCTCTTACAATAAAAAGAGTGGTATTATAATGATTGAAGCTGTGTTATGATAATTTAAGTTTATTCACTCAGAATTGTAAATTGAAATACACGGGTTTATATGTTCTGGTTTTCCTCCCTCTCCCCCTTCTCCCAAGTTGTATGTGGTAGAAATTATTTAAGTAATTTTGTTCCTTAGTTTACAATAAATAAAGAGAAATTGCCACTCTTAACAGGAGATCCATCATACGGTGTCTGTGCCGTATCATCACCATTACAAGGACTCTCCTGCTTCTTTCCTGCTTTTAGGTATAATTAAACGGTTTAGAGGAAATACTGTTAACTGCAAAAAAGTGACAAACTTTTCAAAGGTTTGAGCACTCCTGATTAACAGGAGATTTTATAAGAACAGCCTCACAGGCAGCTTTGTTGTTCCAGAAAAGTAATAGACTAAGTGACATGGTAGATTTATAATCTCGACTGGTCAACAATTTCAGTGATTTTTTTTTCTTGAGGGAAAATCACCTGAATTTCTTCAGGAACAGAGGAAAAAAAGAGAAAAAAGTGACAGTGCTTCCACCCTGCTTGCCCTATAAATACCAAAAGCTTAAATGAAACATTCATAGTCAGCCAAGTAACGAGGAATGCAAACCTGAGAGGGTCAAAGCAGCATAGCAGGCAATGGGCAGCAGAGGGAAATTGTCCATAGGCCGTCATCTCATCTCCTCAGACTTCTCAGGCAATCAAGTACCAGGCATGAAGTCACCTTGGTGAGGGTAGCCTACTGAGGACTGTCTGGCCTAAACCTTCCTAGTGCTGGAACCTGTCTGAGATGAGGCTTTCTCACCTCAGTCAGGTTATCTGTTCTGCAGCAGCAACTCCAATTCCTCCTGTGATCACTTAATTGTCTCAGAAATTCTGCCTTCCTGCAGAATAAAATCGGGTGTCCATTTCACTAATGCTGCAGCCACATTTTCCAGGACTATCTACTTACATATTATAGAATATGGTCAAATGAGAGTGGGCAGATGATTTGCATTTTAAAACTCTAACCAGTTAAGTCTATTCAACAGGAATCTACTTGTCCTTCAATCAGTCATCTCTTGCAGTGAAAAAAAATCTCAATTACATGATGGTCTTAATATATGGGAACAAATGTGTTAGTTGACATGGAAACACACTTTTCTCCTTTCAAAAGCAAGAAAGGACAAAGAAGCCTAAACTCTTTGAAAGATATATTAGTATCCTTTCAGAATACATAGAAGGAAACAAAAGTTGTATAGTATAATGAACAACTCAAACCAGCATAATTCAAAGGCTATCTGCTGCAAATATTTGCATCTATTATTTCTAAACAATAATGACTTTTAACATAGTAAGACATTTGTATTCATTGAGGATAAAAGCCCCGAGCCTGCCAATACTTACACATGTGCTTTACTAAGTTCAAACAATCTTTTTACAGTCCTAGAGGACTAAATATGGTTTCCTTTGAAGCTCATGCACAGAGAACTGATGTCAGGCTCAAGGCTGGGTCCTAAAGGCTGATCTCTATTATTCAGTTATTAAACTACAAGACTGTCTTGATTCTTGTCTAGAGATCGTTTCTCTGGTACAGTAATTCTGAATATGAAAGACAACTTACAGTCACACTCGCCTTAAGGGACACAGATAAGATTGCATTTATACACCCTAATAAAAGGCCTGGTTTTCAGTGGTCCTACAGGTTTTATTAAGCAAAAAAATGTGTTTGGGGAGAGCTTTTATCTTTTTTTATTTAGGCCAAATGATGAATATGCAGATCTGAACATTTTATTCTGTGGATATATGCAAATAAGCAGGAGAGAGGGCAGATATGAGCCTGTCCTCTGAGACAGAATTTCTGGTCTCCAGCCTACTGGTGACCATTTCCCAGCATCGT